GTCTGGTGGCAGCTCCAACGGCTCCTGCTGGGCTACAACACTCAAGGATAAACCCATCTGTAGATAAGCTGAATCTTAAATTTTTAACCAAAATACTCTGAAAAATGGATAATCTGTGGATTACCCATGGAAAAATCAATAATTAAAACATAGAAAAAATTGGAAGGCTGTGTATCTGTTGGATTCATATACAAGTTAATATAACATGTGAAAAAACCAATATGTAGTGAATTCTTCTCTATCTAGAAATTTTCTTTTATCATATCACTTACTGTTTTTTAACTGTAGTGTCAGTTGTTGTCTTTTACATTTGATCATCATTCTTGACTCAAACCAAATATTTTACTTTCTTTCAAACAAAGCTGATTTATCTTTTTTTGTTTTTTTGTTTCCTGTAAATCATATGTCACAGTGAACTGCAGTTGTATGTTAGTTTGGGGAAACAGCAGAGGCTATTCTACTTCAGACAACTGTCAGAAGTTCCCTCACTGTGTCACTCTGTAAATGAGATGGGTAGCCTCTAAATTTGATTAATAAAAATACTTCATAATGAACGTTTAAAAATAATGGCTATGCCTAATAGGAATTTTACATTTTTTATTCTTATGAGGGCCCCATAACTTGGTCACAAAAATTCAGGTGTTCAATAGATACAAACAAAGAAATTAAAGAAAAACTTTTATTCTACATTTTTGGAGGTTAGATAAGGTTAAGTCTCTCTCTATCAAATGACCACTGGGAAAATATATCTTTTTCTTTCATCCTACAAAGCAATTTCAAAAGCAAAAATAAAATAAAAGTACTGTAAACTCTATAGTATTCTGCTGCAATGCAATTAAATTAAAGTAAACATGATTAAGGCAGGTAAAAAAAAAACTATATTAGGCAAATGATTGTGATGTGGAGGAAGCATCTGTAGTCACTGAAGCCAGATAGAAATGAAATGCTCAAAATCAATGATGATTCTGTTAAAGTTTCAATGCATGAAAAATCACAATGGATTTCCCCCAATGATGAATGTATCCTGCTTTCAAGATCACAAGCTACTTAATTATATCGTTTGATGGCAACAACAGTGGGGAGGTGCAGTTACATTAATAGCCTGCTTATGCGATTCCCATAGGAATCTAATCTTCCAATGGGAAGCAGAATGTTAAATTCAATACACCTTTGGTCAGTATCCTTTGGGAACATCTTTCCATTCTTATCTCTTTCATAGACTTTATGAATAAGAGAAAGAGATTTGAAAAGTAGCACAAGTAGCCCTTGACTTAGAACTGTTTGTTTAGTGACAAAAGCTGCAATTGGGGAAAAAATTATGACTGTTTTTCACGTTTATGACTATAGCACCATCCCCATAGTCACGTGATCAAAATTCATGCGCTTGGCATGCGTTTTTGATGGTTGCAGTGTCCTTGCTCAAGTGATCACTTTTCGTGAACTTCTGACAAGCAAAGTATATGGAGAAGCCAGATTCTCTTAATAACCGTGTTACTAATTTAACGACAACAATATTTCACTTAACAACGGTGGCAAGAAAGGTCATAAACGGGGCAAAATGCACTTAACCACGGTGTCAGCGTTCCAAGTATCATGTAGAATTAAATCAGAATCAAAGACAAAACGATCCTTAAAGTTCCAATTTAATAAAG